AGGGTCTGGGGGGTCTGTGAGAAAGACAGGGTGGCCGGGCAGAGCCAGCAGCACCTGCCCTGGAAAGTCCCGACCACAGCAGAGACCAGCCCCAGACAGGGTGAAGGAAGAGGCTGGGCGGGAAGGCTGGGCTCCAATGGGAGATCCAGGCTGCCCACAGGGGCCCCAGCACCTCGTCTGGTAGGAGAAAGGACGGGCCTGGTTGGGTGCCAGCCTGTTGGTGTAGAGCCTGGTCTAAGAGGACAGAGGTGGGGCTGTAGAGGGCCAGCTCCATACACCGGGAAATCTGGCTGTCCTCGAGTCACTCATCTGTCCTGAGGACAGGCTTCAGGCCAGGCCCCATGTTTTGGGTAGAGAAGTAAAGGTGCATCACACCCGGGCTGTCAGACCGCAGGGTGGCGGGACATGGCAAGCAGGCTGGGCAATCCCGGGGGGTCCAGGAGCACAGGCCCTGTCCCGCAGGCTGGGGAGGCTTCCTGGAGGAACGTGGGGCCTGACATCTCCTCTGAGACCTGAAGGAAGAGCAGGCCTTGGGGAGGCTCCGTGGGGGCGGGCAGAGCCTCCCAGCCGGAGGCGCCCACAGCAGTCCCCTCCTCTCCCTACCTGCCTTTCCCCACCACAGCGGAAGCTCCTTCCCCATCTCGGCCCCTCCAGGCCCCAACCTTGGGTGTCAGAGTCTCCTTCTCAACTCCTACAACCAAGCTGTTGGACCACCTTCCCCTTTCATCCCGATTCCACATCCATAAAATACTAGGTCGAATGTTTGCATGAAAAAATAAAACAGGAGGAGGAAAAATCTAGCCTCTGAGCACTTACCACAGTCTCTGAGTCCCGCCCTCCTGCCGGAGCCCGCTCACCTGGGCCTGGGTCACTGCAGCCGCTCTTCACGCTTCTCTCCGCAGCCACCCTGCCCCCTCCATCTTCTCTACACAGCATCCCTCCATCTTCTCTACACAGCATCCCGCCAGCAGGATGCCAGGTCCCAAGCCACCCCTGCTCCTACCCCCCACATCTTGCCGTAAGGCCAGCCTCCCCACAGCACTTCCCACTGTCCTCCACCTGTGTGACCTTGAGCAGCCAGCCTCTTGCCACCCAGGGTCTAAGCAAGATGGGCGCCTGTGACCAAGGCTTAGCTGCCAAGTGGAGGAATGGCGTGGTCTTGGGGACCTAGTGATGTCAGCTGCCGTGGGGGCACTGCTGTGAGCTCCAACCACCAGACTTTGAACTCCCTTTGGATTTTAACCAGCCACCTTTCTCGATGTCTGGGTGGGTAGAGCAATGGGCTCTCCGTGGAGGGTGGGGGTTGGGGCTCCATACCTCACCCAGGAGTGCCGGTCACTCTTTGGGGTAACTGTATGTGTGGAAGCCAAAGGAGGCAGAATTGCTCTTACCTCATCCCGCTCTGGGACACCACAAAGTCTGGAAGGGCCTGCGACCGTGGCCTGCAACATGGGTGACAGTCAGCCTGTGAGGAGTGGGTGGCTGGGCCTCTGGGTCACTGAGTGCACAGGCTGGGGGCTCAGGCTGCTGGCCAGGCACTGCTGAGCCACTTAAGGGGCCCAAGAGCCTGAGTGAGGGAGTAGGGGAATCAGGACATGTCCCCAAGCCTCAGTTGCTGGGTCAGACAGCCTCCAGGGACTGAGAGCCCACGTGGAGCCGGGCCCTTGGGATTCCTGAGCAACCTGCAGGCCCGGGTGGTGAAAATCCCCAACTCACCAAGGCAGGAGGGGCTGGCTCAGGGCCACCCGGGTGCAACCCAGTGCCACGCCTTGAGCTCCTGGCTGTCTTGTTCCAGAAGAAACCAAGAAATGGAGATCCGTGGGGAAGGGCTACGCTAGGAGGCTGCCCCTGGGGTCAGCGCTGCCCTGATGGGGGCCTGGTTCTGGCCCATGCTGGGGAGGGCAGGAATTTCTCTGTGAAGTCGGGGTGAGCAGGGGTGAGGAGGCTGGAGGGCCTCACGCAAGCCCCCACTCTCTGGGCCTCAGTCTCCTCACAGCAGTGAACATCAGCCCCTTCCTGGGGCGCTTTCTCATCCACTGTCTTACTGACCACCAGGGGGACCCCGGGAAGTACTTCTCCCATTTCACGGAGGAACCTGGTCACAGGGGCCAGCTGGTACGGGGTCAGCTGGCGGCAAACCATGGCTTCTGATTCCCCGTCTCTCGCTTCCCTTTCTGAACCGGCGAATGTTGGACCCGGAGCTCGCTGAGGTCAAGGCTCAGGGTCAGAGGCAAACCTCCGAGACCTGGAGTCGTTTACTTGGCTTCTCTGGGCCTAATTTATAAGTGAAGCTGTGAATGGCCTTGAGCAGCCCTGTCTCAGAGGCCACCCGAGGATGAGTGAGAGACACGCTCAGGGCAGTGCTGGAGGGCAGTAGCGCTGGCTGGTCTGTCTTCCTACTGGGCCCTGGACCCCCTGCCGGCCAGGCCGGTCCAGCAGGGCTGCCCTTGGCAGGGTGACATATTTTGGTTTTGTTCTGCTGTAGGCTCTGCCTCCAGAGGCTGGAAGCCTTGGGATTTCTCTCCAGACTTTGCTTGTTGTCACAGTTGGTGGCATCAGCTGCTTGTTAGGAAGCCACAGCTGGGGAAGCTGACAGCCGGTGTGGCCGTGCCGGCCTCCGGGAGGAATTCACGGCCAAGGCCAGGCCCAGGGAGCGGTGGCTCCAGGCCCAGCTGTGACCAGAGTCAGGTGAGTCCTCAGGGGCCTGCTGTGCTTGAGGGCAGTGGTGTCCTTGGAACCTTCCTCTCTGCCTCCCTCCTCTCCCCCTCCCCTCCCCCTCCCCCTTGTCTGTCCCCTCTCCCCTCTCCCCTCCCCCCCACATAGAGGGAGCCAGGTTTTCCTGCTCAGCCACAGCTTTGGTTCTACCAGGTTTCCGATTTGTCATCCAGGAGATGGCAAGCAATCCACCTCCTGCAACCCCTTCCCAGCTTGTTCCTGTTTCCCCAAATCTGACCTGAGGACCGTCCGTCCATCACACGACTGAAGGCCGCCACTCATCAGCTCTGACATGTCCTACGTGCCAGACCCCATGCCGGGTGCTCCCTTTCCTGACGGTATTCTGTCCCCAACCCTCTGATGTGGCTTCATTATTAACCACACGGTACCAAAGGGAGAATATTGAAGCTCTGGTGGGGTGACAAAAGCCTCCCAAGGTCACGTGGCCTGGGAGAGTCAGAGCTGAGTGCCACCCAATTGATGCTCTTTGTGACCGGTGGCCTCGATGACGACAAGATGGCGGAGGCGATGGTGAAGATCTTCTTGGGCTCTGCTGGGCATTGTCTCCCCCTGGGTCCCCCTTCACTGCAGGTCCAGGGAAGAGGGGCAGGCAGTGTGGACAGCACTGGTGGTGACCAATAATGTCCACGAGGTGTCGCCCAAGTCCTAGGAAACAGTTGGTTCTAAAGGAAGGTCTCCAAGCTACCGATAGGGGAAAGGGGAAGGGAAGGGAGGAGTCTCCGCAGAAGGGAGCAGACAGACCTGGCTCTGGGTGGAGATGGCAGCCCCCAGGTCAGCAACCAGCCCTCCCCTCAAGCCTCAGCGAGGAAGACTCACCAACCTGGAAAGTGTGGCAGGATGTCCCCAGGGTGGGAGAGGCCCGGGGTGTAAAGCAGGGAGCGCCCCTTCAACAGTGGGACCTGTGCCCCTCCCTGGCACCTTCACCCCCCAGGGGCAGCCAGATGGCAGCCGGGTTCCACCCTAAGGGCCTTTGGAGCACCTCAGGACTGCCACAGTTAGGGGGTCATCCCCACACCACCTGGCACCAGATACAAAGGTCATGAGCTCCCACTTCTGCTCCCCTTCTGGCCTGGGCTCCCCAGAGCTGAGGCTCAAGGCTCAGTCTTGAACGGCTGAGTGGGCCATTGGTACTGAGTGGCCCCTGAGTGGACAAACCAATGGGTGGCCCGGGCCAGGGCTTTCCACCTTTAAGGAATTCAGCCCAGGAGTCCCTCCTTCTTGCAGTGTCTCAGGAAAGCTCTGTCTACACTGCAGGCTACCCAGGCTGCTCTGCTGAAAGCCGTGGGGGTGTGGGGAGCCCATTTGTTCAGCCTGTGTCTCCCCAGGGATCACCCCCACTTGTCCCCAGGGAAAACCATGGATCTGGAGAACATTGGAAGCAGCCCCTCTGGCCACCATACCCGAGGATACTCACACCCAGATGACAAGAACCTGAGTAGGGAAGGGGACCCGGCTGGGACTCAGGACCTGCTGTCCTGCCGCCTTCTCGGGTGGCTTCCCTGTCACTGACGCACTTCCCTTCTAAGAAGTGTTTGACCTTGGAGCTGACGAGGGACACCGTCTCCTGCCTTCCCTGACCCCTCCCCCACTGGGCGCACAAAGCCCCGTCTCCGTGGCTGGCACAACACGCCTGTGACCCTTCAGGCCAGAGGTGTGGTCCCGTTTCACAGATGGCACAACCGAGACAGCAGAGCTGGAAAGAGAACAAGATTGGCCAGTACCCAGGACCTCCTCACTCCTCCTCCCTGCCAGGCTGCCCGTCATTAAGGAGGTGCCAGCCAGACGCTCAGGATTCCCAGCCTGGTTTATGGCCCGTGTGACTCTGGCAGGTTGCTTTCCCTCTGTGGGCCTTGGTGGCTCAGAGGAAGGGGAGAGGACGGCTGAAACTGGAAAGCCTTGGCCCTGTCTTGCTATCACTGCCCCAGGGC